CTGAGGTTCAGGTAGAGTACTTGGCCACAAGTTGCTCTGCTAATAAAAAAAAAGAGAGAGAGAGAACTGGTAGTCAAACCCCAGCCTCTAACTTAGTCCAATGTTTTTCTTTTCATTGCTGCATCAGAAACCCCATGATTACAAGAGGTGTATTACCAAGTCCTTCATAACAATTCTATTGTCCCCTAAGCTTTTCCGTAATCTTTTCTTTTCTTTTGTAGAAAGGTTTTTTGCCACAGGGCCTGTAAGCTCGCCAGAGAGACAGAAAGCGAGAAATCACCCCCCAGGGGGGATGGTCATGCCACAATTCCTTCTCCTTCATTCTCTCGGATTTTGCGCACACAGGCACATGCACCTGGCATGAGTTTTAAGCCGCCCAGTCCAGGACTCAAACTGCGGTTAACTAGCGATGCAACCATTACACCATCTGCTGGCCCCATGATCCTTTTCTTAAAAATTAAACATTTAATGAAAAAAACTGGGACCAGCAGTTGGCGTAATGGCTATGTTGCTAGACTCCCACATAGTCAACCGTGGATCGAGTCCCAGACCTGGTGGCTTAAACTCATGCCGGGTGTGTGTGCATGCATGCCCAAGATCCCAGGAGAAGGGATTGTGGTGCGGCCATCCTCCCTGGGGAGTGATTTCTCGCTTTCTGTCTCTCTGTCGCTCTCTGTCTTTCTGGCGAGTGCATGCACCCAATAGCAAAAAACTCTCCAAAATAAAAGAAAAGAACCACATTCCTGTCACACTATAGCTTGCCTGTTCTCTGATCTCCTGCCTAAACTTTACCAAGAAATCAGTTTCTAAAGCTCTTGTTCAGAATAGAGCTATAGATAAAATAGCGTATAAGTTCTTACCTGTTCAGGATCCTAGCTATATCTCTGCTGTCTTTTCCTATTGCATCCCACACTTAAACATCCCATCATAGAACCCTGCCCTACCTGCTGTGTTGCATAAACACCAAGAACAGTCCTCAGGGTTTGTCTTCTATACTCACTCATGGCTGGGATGTTCTTTCCCCTAATGGCTACACAGCTTTATTTGTCTTTATTTGGCTTTCCTCCAAGTCACCTCAGTATGGCCTTTCTTGACCACCCTATGTAAACATACATATAAATATCCCTTCAACACACACATTATGCTTCCTCTTCCCCTTATCAACATTTAACCTGATATACTCCCCTTTTTTTTAGAATTAATGTTTTTTTAAAGAACCATTCTATTTAACATTTATTTATTTATTTATTTTAATTTGACCAGAGAAGGACAGATTGAGTGAGAGAGAGATGGAGAGGGAAAGCAAGAAAGCAAGCCTCCAAGTCTGGGACTTGAACCATGGTCAGCCATGTGGGAGTCCAGCGCCCTTAACCACCATGCCACCAGCTGGCCCCTTTTATTTTTTTAATTTTAATTTTCTTTTTAGAGATTTTTGCTATAGGGTGCATTCGCTGGAGAGACAGAAAGCAAAAAATCACCCCTTGGGATGGCCATGCCACAATCTCTTCATTCTTCTCTCGGGATCTTGGGTTCACATGCACATGTGCCCAGTGTGAGTTTTAAGCCACCAAGTCCAGGACTCAAACCGCAGTCAACTATGTGGGGAGTCCAGCGACGTAACAATTACGCCATCTGCTGGTCCCAGTTTTTTGTAATGGATTTTTAAAATTTTTATTTTTAGAGATTTTTGCTATAGGGCCCATGCATTCATTGGACAGACAGAGACCAAAAGTGAGAAATCACCCCCTAGGGGTATGACCACACTGCAATCCTTTCTCCTTTCTTCCCTTGGGATCTTGGACACACATGCACGTGTACCTGGCATGAGTTTTAAGCCACCAGATCTGGGATCTCGAACTACAGTCAACTATGTCAAAGTCCAGTGATGTAACCATTATATCATCTGCTGGCCCCTGGCCCTAATTTTTCAAATTTGCTATAGTGCACATGTACTCACCAGAAAGAGACTGAGAGAGTGAGTGACTGAGTGAGAAAGCAAGCAAGCCACCAGGTCTGGACTCAAACCATAGTCCGCCATGTGGGAGTAAAGAGCCCTAACCACTATACCACCTGCTGGACCTGGCACTATGTACTTTTAAAAATTCATTTAATTTTACTTACTATTATTTTAAAATTTGCTATGGGGCATGTGTACGCACCAGAGAGAGAGAGAAAATGAGAAAACAAACCTCCAGGTACCAGACTCAGACCATGGTAGGCCTTGTGGGAGTTCAGCGCCTCAGCCACCACGCCACCTGTTGGCCCTGCTACTGTGTAATTTTATTATATCACTTCCAAAGAGTCTTGTTTAGTTTGTGATAATTTGTAAAAACACTGGTTAAGGCGCAGGACACTCCCACATGGCTGACTACAGTTCAAGTCTTGGACCCTGTGGCTTGCTTTCTCACTTTCTCTCTCTCCCCCTCTCTCTGTCCCTCTCTGGTCAAATTAAAATAAATGTATCAATCCATAAAATTAAAATAAATAATTCTTTTTTTTTTTTTTTTTTTTGCTATAGGGTGCATGCGCTCGCCAGAAAGATAGAGACAGACAGAAAGCAAGAAATCACCCCCCCAGAGGGGATGGCCACACCACAATCCCTTCTCCATTCTCTCGGGATTTGGTCACACATGCAAATGCGCCCAGTATGAGTTTAAGCTGCTGGGTCCAGGACTTGAACCGCGGTCGACTACATGGGAGTCTAGCGACACAGCCATTATGCTAACTGCTGGCCCCCAATAAATAATTCTTTTAAAAAAGTATGCAGTGCTTGGGACCAGCAGTTAGCATAATGGCTATGTCGCTGGACTTCCACGTGGTCGACTACGGTTCGCCTCCCGGCCCCAGTGGCTTAAACTCACGCTGGGCACATGTGCGTGTGTGCCCAAGATCCCGAGAGGAGAATGGAGGAGAAGGGATTGTGGTGTGGCCATCCCCCCTTGGGGGTGATTTCTCGCTTTCTGTCTGTCTGCCTCTCTCTGTCTGTCTGGCGAGCGCACGCACCTTATAGCAAAAACCTCTCCAAAAAAAGAAAAAAAAAAAGTAAGCAGTGCCATATGTAAAAGGTTTTTGCACAAAAATTGCATGTGGGGTCAGCAGGTGGCATGGTGGTTAAGATACTGGACTCCCACATGGCTGACCGTGATTCAAGTGCTGGACCTGGTGGTTTGCTTCCTCACTTTCCCTCTCTTGTTCTCTCTGTCTCTCTCTGTTGAGTGCACATGTTCTTTAGCAAATTTAAAAATAATAATAGTTAGAATAAAATTATATGTTTTCTCATTAGAATTATTTTATTTAACTTTATTTATTTATTTATTTGGTTATTTTAATTTGACCAGAAAGGGACAAAGTGGTGGTGGTGAGGGGAGGAAGAAAGCAAGCTGCCAGGTCTGGGACTTGAACCTTAGTTGGCCATGTAGAAGTCTAGTGCCCTTAGCTACCATGCCACCTGCCAGCCCCAAAGTTAGATTAAATTTTTTTTAAAAATTGAATGTGAATTTGAACCTTTATTACAGAAAGTAAAGCACTTAGGAAGCATGTTAAATCACACCATGAAGTTATAATCAGCAAAATCCAGAATGTGGGAAGTTATACCTATCGAATGTCCTAGATTCTTTTTTTTTTTTTTAAGAATTATCTATTTATTTAATTCCATTTGTTATTATTTTTTAATTTTATCAGAGAGAGGCAGAGAGAGAGAGAGGAGAAAGGGAAAGCGAGAAATCAGGCTGCCAGGTCCAGGACTCAAATCTGGGTTGGCTATGTGGGAATCCAGTGCCCCTAGCCACCATGCCACCTGCTGGCCCCAAATGACCTAGTTTTTAAATGAATGACAAAGGGGAAAAGGAGAAGAAATTTATAGATTAAAAGAATCTCTCTTTTTTTTTTTTTTTGGAGAGGTTTTCGCACTCACCAGAAAGACAGAGAGAGACAGAAAGTGAGAAATCACCCCCCAGGGGAGATGGCCATGCCACAATCCCTTCTCCATTCTCCTTTCGGGATCTTGGGCACGCATGCACATGCACCCAGTGTGAGTTTAAGCCACCGGATCCAGGACTTGAACCACCGTCGACTACATGGAAGTTCAGTGACATAGCCATTACGCTACCTGCTGGTCCCAGATTAAACGAATATTGAGGACAGCTTGTGGACTGGTTTATAAAAGGAGCTGGATCCCACATGGCTGACCTTACCGTGGCCAGCAGCTTGAAAAACATGCCAGTGCACATGTGTGCATGCCCATATCCTACCAGAATGGAGAATGGAGAAGGGATTGCAATATAATCATTTGCCCTTTCTCTCTATTACTCTTTGGCAAGCACACATGCCCTCTGGTAAATAATTTTTTTAAAAACCTATATATTTTTAAGTTTATTTATGTCTTTCATAAGTGAGAGAGACAGAGATAGCACCCCCAAAGAGGTCTCAACACCATGATCTACTTCAACCAGTCCCATATCATAGGCACATACAAGTCTAGCATACTCAAGTCTTCATACATGAGCCAGAACACTCCCAAACAAGTTAGCCTCCCAGAGCATCATGACCTACTAGTGTACCACTGTTTATCCACTGATAGAGTTTCTTTTCTTTCTTTGGAGAGGTTTTTGCTATAGGGCACATATGCTCACCAGAATGACATAGAGAGACCGAAAGCAAGAAATCACCCTCAGGGGGATGGCAGCACCGCAATCCCTTTTCCCTCCATAATCCTTTGGGATCTTGGTCACGCAAGCACACACACCAGGTCCAGGACTCAAACCATGGTTGACTACATGGGAGTCCAGCACTGTATCCATTATGCCATCTGCTGATCACGTGATAGAGTATTTTTTATAGCAGCATTTTGACTAACAGTGAGGTCAGACATGGAATTTTCCACTTACGGTATCATGTTGGCAATGGAAAGGTTTTGAATTTTAGAGCTTTCTGGATTAGGGTTGTTCAACCTATTTTTTAAAATAAATTATTGAGTATCATTTTTCCCCCTACCCTTCTAGTCTGGAGCTGATCAAGGAACCTGTTTCTACAAAGTGTGACCACATATTTTGCAAGTAAGTTTGAATGTTTTATATGACTCAATTATTATCTTTTGTGTCTGTCCTTTATAATGCAGGGAATAGATAACGTTATAGAAAAAAATAGCTTTGGACTAGCAGGTGGTGTGTTGATTGAGACTCTAGACTCCCATGTTCTGGCTGACTATGGTTCGAGTCCTGGATCTGGCGGCTTACTTTCACTTTCTGTATCTTTCTGTGTCTCTCTCTCTCTGATCAAATTAAGATAATGATAATAATGGATAAAGTTAAATAATTATTTAAAAAAAATAAAATAGCTTGGGACCAGCAGTTAGAGTAATGGCTTTGTCGCTGGACTCCCACATAGTTGACTGTGGTTTGTGTCCCAGACCCGGTGGCTTAAAACTCAGGCCGGGCACGTGTGCGTGCGTGCCCAAGATCCCGAGAGGAGAATGGAGGAGAAGGGATTGCGGCGTGGCCATCCCCCCTGGCAGGTGATTTCTCACTTTCTGTCTCTCTGTCTCTCTGTTTGTTTAGCGAGTACACACGCCCTATAGCAAAAATGTCTCCCCCCCAAAAAAATAAATAAAATAAAATAGCTTTTGGGGACCAGCAGTTAGTGTAATGGCTATGTCCCTGGATGCCCATGTCGTCGACCACAGTTCAAGTCCTGGACAAGGTGGCTTAAACTCACGCTGGGCGCATGTGCATGTGTGCCCAAGATCCCGAGAGGGGAATGGAGGAGGAGGGATTGCGGCGTGGACATCCTCCCTGGGGAGTGATTTCTTGCTTCTGTCTCTCTCTCTCTCTCTCTCTGTCTTTCTGGTGAGCACATATGTCTTATAGCAAAAACCTCTCAAAAAAAAAAAAAAGCTTTTATTTATAGAAGCTTTAGCTTCAATTAAATGACAAAGAAAATTTCAACTCATTTATTCTGCTTTGGAGTTCCTACAAAGTCATTATAACTTGGTTGTAGTCATAGTTCCTGGTAAATTATTGACATATCTGGTGGGATGTAAAATAATTTGGAACAGTTTTTATTTTAAATAATTATTTGTTAAACTTTATTTATTCATTAATTTATTTTTAATTTGACAGAGAGAGAAAGCAAGTCTGGGACTCGAACCGTGGTCAGCATGTGGGAGTGTCCAGCACCTTAACCACCATGCCACCTGCTAGTCCCCTGGAACAGTCTTTTTGTTATTTGTAGAGGGGTGAAGACTACAAATAATTGTGAAATAAGCAAATTGTGTGTCAACTTTCTCAGTTTCTCCTTTCTGTTCATTTCTGGATTTTTAAGTTTCATTGTTTGCCTGCTTTGTAATCCTTGTAAGGTAGGAAAGGGTTGGGTCAGTTCTGTGATGCAGTGGTAATGCGCTGCTCAAGACGGATGGGTCTCACATAGATACCTGCTTTGGAATCTTTTGTCCCAGTTTGCCTGAAATAAAACACCCCTGGCATGGCTGCAAGTGGCCAAGATCCAACAGGCTAGAAGATTGGAGGAAGGGGATCATGTTGTGACCAGACCCAATGTGGAGGGTGCTCACTAGAGAGAGACAGAAGAGAAAAATGAAGGAATGACCATGCCACAATCCCTTCTCTTACCTTCTCCTCTCGGGATTTGGGTACATATACACATGTGTCTGGCATGATTTCTAAACTTCCAGGTCCAGGATTTGAACCACAGTTGACCACCTGCTGGCTTAATGGAGGTAGCTTTTTGACACCCTCATTCCCCAAACTATAGAGTTAGAGTCATTGTTGAGTTTAATATGGCAGTCAAAACATCTGTATAGGTGAGAATGGACCTCAAGTCTCCTGACCCTATCTACCTGTGATTATTTTTCTCTGATAATATTGTGGGATTTGCCACAGTTCTACCTGGAATTATCACTTTCACCACTTGATTACTATGTAAATTGGGACATAGCTCTACTGTAAAATGATGGTAATATTGGGTTGTCAGGAAAGTGATGATGCATTTTTGCATAGAAAAGCATAGAAAAATACTCCATGACTTTCTCAATGACCTAATACTTTGGGATTGTGGTGTAGCTGAAGCGAAGACAATACATATTAAAGGAACTGGTCAATAAAAAGTACTAAGTTCCCCAAGATTTTTCAGCTCCTTAATCTCTTCTTCCATAGCTCTCTTTGATGTCTGTCTTCTATTTATATCCTACCCTAGCACCTGCCTCACCAGTTTTTTGTGTTCTTTATAATGGCAGAATTATTAATTGTGGGAGTGAGTTAAGCTTTTGATTATCATCCCCACTACTGTCTCTACTACTGGTCTACAGCCAATTTTGAGTTCATTTTTGTGTGTGGTGTAAGGTCAGAATCTAGTTTCATCCTTCCACATCCAGTTATCCATAAACACTTTTTAAAAAAAATTTCCTATTTAATTGTCTTGATGTTATGTATGAATTTATTTTTAAATTTTCAATTATAGTACATTGATGTATATATGTATTGTTATGCAAATACCATATTGTCTTAATAGCTTTGTAGTTAGGTGCTGAATTTTTAAACTAGTTATAATCTCCTTTTTGGTGGTGGTGGGGGGGGGATTTTTGCTATAGGGTAAGTGTGCTCACCAGAGACAGAAAGTGAGAAATCTTCCCCCAGGGGCATGGCCATGTTGTAATCCCTGCTCCATTCTTCTCTTGGGATTTTGGGCATTCATGCATACGTGCCCAGTGTGAGGTTTGTGTTTTGTTTTGTTTTGTTTGTTTGTTTGTTTGTTTTTAACTTTATTTGTTTCTTTGTTTCTTTATTTTAATTTGACCAGAGAGGAACAGAGTGAGAGTGAGAGGGAAAGTGAGATGGCAAGCTACTAGGTCCAGGACTCCAACTATAGTTGGCCATGTGGGAGTCCAGTGCCCTTAACTACCACGCCACCTGCCAGCTCAGATGTGCCCAGTGTTAGTTTTAAGCCCCAGGGTCTAGGACTTAAACCACGATCCGACCTCATGGGAATCCAGCAATGTAACCATTGTACCATCTGCTAGTCCCTAGTTATAATCATTTTATATGAACTATTTGCTGTTTATGTCTGATTATGCAGCATGAAATAATTATGGATATATCATTAAATATGCCATGCTAACTCTTTAGTAAGTTTTATTTGATCATAACAGTAAGCCATGTGCATATAAGTTCAGTTTTCATAGATCGTTGCTTATGTAGTTTGGGTTTCTGCTTATGCAGCGTCTAAAAGTGATTAGAGAAAAACATTGGTTGTAATTCACCTGCCATTATGTCTTAAAGGGCTCTTCAGGGCAGTTGTGAGATGATCTTTTCAGGGCTATTTGCCTTTTGAGTATTCACTGTACAAAGAAAGTAACTTGAATTATTCTTTTCATTTTTTATGATTTATAGGTTTTGTATGCTGAAACTTCTCAACCAGAAGAAAGGGCCTTCACAGTGTCCTTTGTGTAAGAATGATATAACCAGAAGGTATATAATGTGGGTAATAATGGGAAGTTGGAAGCAACAACAGCAAGAAAAGGTTGAAATTCTTTAATAACATAGCTGGTGTTCCTGTAAAACCATTCATCAGTAGAAAAATGTGTAAAAGCGTGTTTAGCAGACAGAGTACATTATTTCAAGTGCTGTTTTTCTGAAAGTTTTATGAGATATCTGCCTTATACCAGTACTAGAAACTTGCTACCTTTTCTAATGCTTCTCAATAGGGCAGGAATTTGAAGTCTTACCTAAAGTAGGACTGCACCACCATTCCCTTGCTAATCTTGCTTTTATTTATCTTAATTGCATTTATTTTTACTTAATTATTTATGTACATGTGATGTATTTATACGTTACGGATCTCTCCTAACACAATATGAAGCTCTACTTGGGCAGTGACTTTTTCTCAGTAAGTACTATTTCTTCAATGTTTAGGACATAGTAAGGACTCAAGTTTTGTTTTGTTTTTGTTTTTGTTTTTTTCTTTTTAATATGACCAGAGAGACAGAGAGAAAGTGAGAAAGCAAACCACTAGATCTGGTACTCGAACCATGGTCAGTCATGTGGGAGTCCAGCATCTTAACCACCACACCACCTGCTGGCCCCTCATTTTATTTAAATTTGATCAGAGAGAGAGTGAGAAAGCAAGTCACCAGGTCTAGGACTTGAACCATGACAAGCCACGTGGGACTGTCTAGCGCCTTAAACACCATGCCACCTACTAGCCCCATAAAGTATATTTTCCTTCCACATTCCAAAATCTAAATCTCCCTTTGGATGTTATTATCTATCTTTGTTTTTAAAATGATATAATCATCATCTTACAAAAATCCCTGAAGAGCAGAACCAGTAGTGAGGAGTCCAGAAGCTTTCATCTATTAAGAATAGCAAGTTCAGACCAGCAGTTAGTGTAATGGCTATGTCGCTGGACTCCCATGTAGTTGACTGCGGTTCGTGTCCCAGACCCGGTGGATTAAAACTTACGCCGGGCACATGTGTGTGCGTGCCCATGATCCCTAGAGGAGAACGGAGGAGAAGGGATTGTGGCATGGCCATCCCCCCTGGGGGGTGATTTCTCCCTTTCTGTCTCTCTATCTCTCTCTAGTCTGTCTGACCAGCACTGCTGGTCCCTAGTTTTAGATTTTTGTTAGACTTGAATAGATAACAAAAATATTATTTAAAAAATCAAGACTGCCACCCAGCTTATGCTGATGTCAGTGATCTATCAATTATATGTAATGTCACCAAGAGCTCTGTTTTTTGAATGTAGGTTTCCTACTATTGCATCTCTTTTTTAAATAATTATTTTATTTAACTTTATTTATTATTATTATCATTATTATTTTCCAGTTTGATCAGAGAGAGACAGAGGGAGAGAGAGGAAGTGAGAAAGCAAGCCACCAGTTCCGAGACTTGAACCGTGGTCAACAATGTGGGTGGGAGTCCAGTGCCTTTAACTACCATGCCACTTGCCGGCCCCCAACTATTGCATCTTATTTTTACTTGTCTATATGCTTTTCTTTATTTTTGTGTCCTTACAAAGTTGATGACTTGCTAAGTGTGTCTCTCACACACTTTAATTTCAGAAGCCTACAAGAAAGTACAAGATTTAGTCAACTTGTTGAAGAGCTGTTGAAAATCATTCATGCTTTTGAACTTGATACAGGATTGCAGTGTAAGTATTGCATAGCCTCAGGACCCAGTACTCAAAAGGCTATTCATGAAAATTCAGGAAGTTTGCACAATTATTTTCTATGATGAGGTGATAGGACTTTTTGGTCTAGGTTAATTTTAGCTCTGTTTTTGTCATCTGTTCTTAAAATCACTCCTCCTGGCTTCACACCTTATTTTATCATTCCTAAGGTGCATATTTTTTTACATCTTAACCTCTCTGCATTGTGCATGAACAGTGTGTGATTGTTTCGTGTATTTTTTTAAATAATTATTTATTTCATTTTATTTATTCATTCATTTATTTTAATTTGACCAGAGAGAGACATGGGGGGGGGAGGGGGAGTAACAAACCAAGTCACCAGGTTCAGGACTGGAACCCTGGTCAGCTATGTGGAAGTATCCAACGCCTTAACCACCATGCCACCAGCTAGTCCCATAGTGTATTTTCTTGATGGTACTGAAAATAATGGTGCATCTTACACTGTTGGTGTCTTAGATTCAGTGAAATACAGTGTTGTTAGGCAAATTTGTTAGAATTGAAGTGGCAAAGAAGTAGTAAAAATAATTTTGATTTTTCTGTGTGTTTTCCTGGGAGTATGATTCCTAAAATTTATTAAAAAAAAAAGTTCTGGGTAACTATATTGTATTGTCTTAATAAAGAGCATACTAGGATTTCTCTTGGTGCCTTTGAATACAATTAATACATTTTTTTCTAACTACAAAAATAGCATCTCTTGTAATTCACAGTTACAACCAGTTACAGCTTTTCAAAAAAGGAAAATAACTCTCCTGAACAGCTAAAGGAGGAAGTTTCTATCGTCCAAAGCATGGGCTTCCGAAACCGTGCCAAAAGACTTCGACAGGGCGAACTTGAAGATCCTACCTTGGTAAAGTCATTTTTATTTATTCTTGACAATATCTTCTTCTTTTTTTTTTTTTTTTTTTTAAGATTTATTTATTTATTTAATTCCTTTAAAAAAAATAAATGACCAGAGAGAGAGAAAGGGAAAGTGAGAAAGCAAGCCGCCAGATCTGGGACTCGAACCATGGTCAGCCATGTTGGAATCCAGCACCTTAAATCACCGCGCCATCTGCCAGCCCTGACATCTCTTCGTTGGACATTGTGAATTAGTGAAGGAGCTAGATGTTCATGGATTTTTATAACAGTTAAGAGGGATAAGTGGTAAATTAAGTGGTTAGACAAATGTTCTAATAAATAAGAGTTAGAGAAGGTCAGGGTATCTAGTATGGTCCAGAGGGACTTTATAGATTCTTCCCTTATTTTGAAGCTTTATCTGCTCAGATGCATGTCTGAAACAGGCCTAAGATCACTGGTGTTTTTAAGCATTTGTGAATTACTTCAGTTTACAATTACTTTTAGAATTATTTTATTTTATTTATTCATTCATTTATTTTAATTTGACCAGAGAGAGCCAGAGAGAAAGTGAGAAAGCAAGCTGCCAGGTCCAGGATTTGAACCATGGTCAGCCATGTGGGAGTGTTCAGCACCTTAACCACATGCCACCTGCTGGTCCACACTTCAGTTTATAATTACTGGTGTAATTATCAAAGTAAACACAGTGAATAAAAGATATTTACTATGTGAATAAAAGATATCTTAAAAATGATAGTTCTAGGACCAGCTAGGTAGCCTGATCGTTGGGGCAGCCGATCCCACATGGTGGACTCCGCAGTTTGAGTCCCATACTCAGTAACCTGAAAAACATTGTGCACTTAAGATCCCAAAAGGAGGCTAGAAGAGAAGGGATTGCAGTGTGGACATCACCACTGGGGGGGTGATTTACTTTCCGTCTCTCTTTCTCTCTATGGTGAGCACACGTACTCTATAGCAAAGTTAAAATAATAACAATAAAGGGCCAGGAGGTGGTATAGTTGTTAAGGCGCTGGGATCCCAGGTGACTAACCATAGTTTGAGTCTTGGACCTGGTGGCTTGAAAATCATGCCAGGCATGTATGCATGTGTGCTCTCTATCCAGGAAGAGAATGGAGAAGGGATTGTGGCTTTAGCCATCTTCCTGAGGGGTGATTTCTCACTTTCACTCTCACTGTTTGTCTCTCTCCAGCGAGCACATGCACCGTATGGAAAAAAAAAACTAAAAATAAATAAATAAAATAATAATGCCAGTTCTTATTGTATTAGCATTCATTTTTCAGTAGATGTAGAAGGGCTAGAACAGAAGAAGAAAAACTTTATTCAAGTAATTTTAGGCTTATAAATATTCTTTTACTAAATATTCTTAGGAGTGCTGGGGTTTAATTATCATTTATCTATTTTTCAAATTTATTTTAAGTGCCAGCTGTATTATTAGATGTGATTGGAAATGTATATCAAATATAGGTTTCAAGATACTATTTTAGGGGCTGGCAGGTGGTGTGGTGGACTCCCACACGCACTGGACTCCCACTGGCCAACAGCGGTTTGAGTCCCAGACCTGGCGGCTTGCTTTCTCACCTCTCTCTCTCGCTCGCTCTGTTCCTCTCAGGTCAAATAAAATAAACAAACAAATAAATAAACAAAATTAAAATAAAAAGTCATTATTAAGGGGCCGACAGGTGGCATGGTGGTTAAGGGCGCTGGATTCCCACATGGCTGACTGCGGTTCGAGTCCTGGACCTGGTGGCTTGCTTTCTCACTTTTCCTCTCTCTCTCATGCTGTCCTTCTCTGGTCAAATTAAAATAAATAAATAAATAAAGTTAAATAAAATAATTCTTTAAAAAATATTTTTGGGAACCAGCAGTTAACGTAATGGCATGTCGCTGGACTCCCACGTAGTCGACCGCAGTTCGCGTCCTGAACCCGGTGGCTTAAAACTCACGCCGGGCGCGTGTGCGTGCGTGCCCAAGAACCCGAGAGGAGAATGGAGGAGAAGGGATTGCGGCGTGACCACCCCCCCCGGGGGTTGATTTCTTGCTTTCTGTCTCTATGTCTCTGTCTGTCTGGCGAGCGCACGCGCCCTGTAGCGAAAAACCTCTCAAAAAAAAATAAAGTTAGCATCTCTTTGCCTTTATGTGTACCCCATGTCTTCACCAAAAAGGCACATCAGCCCCTGTTGCTCAATCTAGGAATTGTAGAATTGTACTTGAGTCATCTGTGAGTGGGTTATCCGATCCAATCCACTATCCAACCCACATCCAACA